TTGCACTTGAACTTTTAACTCTATCTTCTGGATAATCGTGGTTTTAATTAGGAAGAATTATATGGTAAATCCTGTCTGACGTGGCCCTTATCCGAAAGCTGAAGTTATACACATTAAATTACGTGGTAGGTGTAGTTAAAATGGAACATTATACACATTCTGTGGAATTTTAAATTACCGGGCTGTTGAAGATAATTCTGAAGAGGATATTCGGTGACAGGTAGTCAGGAGATATGTAGCCTCATGCTGATGTTGGCAGATTTTTTATTATTATTTTTTTTTTATATATAACACTTTTCTGGAAACAGTCATTTGTCGACAAGATTTAAAGTTCTGTTGAATATCAGAACGAGCTTAAATATTACGTCCTACTTGCAGACAGAAGACTTTTGTAACACTGGACATTTATATGAAAGGAATCTGCTTCGAATCTAGACTGGGTCACTGGACCTCGTGACAGGTTTTCGTGACATCCTTAATCTCTTCAGGCGAATGCTGGTGTACCAGATCGTATTTAAACTGGTCATTATCAGTCCTACCAGATCCTTGTGCCTCATTCTTGATCATTTTCGCTTTTCATTCTACGCTGTGTAATTAAAGCCTTTAAAACGAGCAGTGAAGTAATCTAAAATGAAGCCAACCGTTGTCAGAGAAATATGTTTTAATTATTTGTCCATTGGGTTTGCTTTCAGTTAGCTGATAGGCCGAAACGTCGTCAAAACGAAGCTTTTGTGCGGTTTGTAATTTCAGTTATCCTCCCACAAGATTCAGAACGAATATCGTGTTGGAACTCGTTGAAACGTTTCGACGTCCTCGTTTCTGTGGCGATGCTGTTAAATTATTTTCTGGAGTTTGCATTTGTGACAATTGACAGTAATCTCGACACTTCCAAATTTAAAGCCTGGTTGTGCGGAAGGGTGTGTCGTAATCGTAAAATGTCTCTGTCTTTATACGCAGACTATAACTAGAGGCTCATCAATTTGGTTTACCGATACAACGACATTTCTCAGCTTCTCATTAATTTTGTTACAGTGGGCTCAATGACACTTTGAAATCGATTGATAGCTCCCGCGAGAGATCGTGTCTGCTGACAAATTAGAAGGGGAACTTTTGTTACACTCTCAGACTGCAGTGGTTGTGTGACCATCCGTCTGGCTTTACAATGGTACAGGCAGTGTTAATGGTGTGATCGTTTAATTATTTTTCATACAACAGAAGTTAGCACCTAACGTTCGAGTCCACGTAATGAAAATTAAATTGTATGATTCAGTTACCCTTAATTTATTTAGAACCTTCCATCGGTTCGTCGCACGACGTGTACGAGGTGCGATCGGAAAGTTTCAAGACTGCGCGTATAAAAACCCGTACACTTATCTCAGGTATTAAATTCATCCATCACCCTCGAAGTAGTTCCCCTGGGAGTGAACACAACGATCCCAGCGCCGCTGCCAAGCCTGGAAGCATCCCTGGAAATCTTTCTTTGTCAGCCTGTCAAGCACCATCTGCGATTCTGCCTGAATCTCTTCTATCGTCTCAAATCTCCTTCCCTTTAGCTGAATTTTCATCTTTGGGAAGAGGAAGAAGTCACACGGCGAATAAGGAGGGTGCGGGATGACGGCCATGGTGTTTGAGGCCAAAAACTGCCGAACTTTGAGGGCGGTGTATAATCGTCTTCACTTCGTTGGTTACGTACTCAAGCCTGTACCTACTTCATATCCTCCTCATTCCGCCATTTTAAAAATCTACCTAGATTAAAATTTCAGCCTATTTGGGCATCCTACCATCTGCCATTTTATTCAGATGTTTTATATGGGCTTTGTCTGTGTACAACTAATTTATTCTGTAATGAGTCTACTTTAACTTTTTTCCTAATGTTTTCATTCGTATTATTGACAAAGGCTGACTTATTGTAACGCTGTGTTGGACAGGAATATTTGATATACCCGACGTTTCGGGAGTTGGTTCTACTCCACAGGAGCAGAATATAAAATTACTAATAAGAAATTTCTTATGTTCATTGTAAAGTTCCCTTCGGAGCATCCCGTAAGCGACTTTTTGTGTTCCATTTTTTTAAAGCAAGTAAGTAACAAGTGAGTGTTAAGGAAAAAATAGCCGATTCGTCAAACTCGGCCATTTTAGAAATTTAACTGTTAAGTGAGTTTGTGGTAACTTTGCTGTGGCTGGCTCGTCCTGTCGTATATTTGAAGAGTGAGAACTCTATGATGAATTATTGAAATGCCATTTTGCAGGGACACAGCGAAGTGTTTTTTTTAAAAAAAACGCTTTGCGGGGGGGAAACCATGTTTTGTACTCTTTGCATAAAGTTTTTAGAGCGATTAATTCAAGGATATGAGGTGGGGTTGACATGTAGCACGCATGAGGATATTGGAAATATATATTAAATTATTTTTTTTAAAACCAGAAGGGTAAGTCATTTTGAAGTACTCGCCGTTTATGGGGATAATATTAAAATTGATCTGGATGAAAGTACTACATACTGCCAAAAGTAATGAGTCTTAGCGTTCAGTAAAATGCAGGGAATTTCTTGATTTTATAAAGAGACGAGAGGCCATTGGTGAATTTATTCGGCCAGATGAGTCAAAACGATTTTCAAACTGCAGTCTCGTATATAACGTCGCCTATCTGTCTGGTTCAGCTTGCAGTCCGACAGGACTCTATTGCCGCATGAATGCGCTCACCACAACATGGAATTACTGGTCGTTCGATTGATAAAAAAAGTGTTTAAAAATGTGATCATCATCCGGCCGATGTAACGCCTGTTCAAAGACTGCCCGGCAATCATTTGTAAATTTTGTGGTATTCTGATTTTGCGATTATGAAATATTTCTGTGCCCACATTTCACGCTTCTTTACGCACGGTCATTTCAAATTGGAGTCGTCGTTATAATGTGGAATTTTGTGTTTTGTTAACTGCTTCAGATCACAAGTGGTTCACGGCCCAACGCACGATATCTCTGCGGGATTTCGCTCTGTAGTGATATTAAAATTGAAACTACAGCCGTAGACCCTAGTCCTTTCGAACCACAAAGGCGGGAGCTCGACAGGGACTAGTTAATCGAGATCTTAATGATTTCATGTAATTCAGCGTTAAAATTTGCCGAAGCAAAGTTATATATTATATAAGACTTGAGGTTCTCACAGCGGTGAGTATGAAGATTTCTGTCTTCTAGGTTGTTGCGCTGTGTAGTCTGGGCGATGTTAACCAACGTTTCAGAGGTCATACTGCCGCCGTCATCAGGGCGGTGAGTATGAAGATTTCTGTCTTCTAGGTTGTTGCGCTGTGTAGTCTGGGCGATGTTAACCAACGTTTCAGAGGTCATACTGCCGCCGTCATCAGGGCGGTGAGTATGAAGATTTCTGTCTTCTAGGTTGTTGCGCTGTGTAGTCTGGGCGATGTTAACCAACGTTTCAGAGGTCATACTGCCGCCGTCATCAGGGCGGTGAGTATGAAGATTTCTGTCTTCTAGGTTGTTGCGCTGTGTAGTCTGGGCGATGTTAACCAACGTTTCAGAGGTCATACTGCCGCCGTCATCAGGGCGGTGAGTATGAAGATTTCTGTCTTCTAGGTTGTTGCGCTGTGTAGTCTGGGCGATGTTAACCAACGTTTCAGAGGTCATACTGCCGCCGTCATCAGGGCGGTGAGTATGAAGATTTCTGTCTTCTAGGTTGTTGCGCTGTGTAGTCTGGGCGATGTTAACCAACGTTTCAGAGGTCATACTGCCGCCGTCATCAGGGCGGTGAGTATGAAGATTTCTGTCTTCTAGGTTGTTGCGCTGTGTAGTCTGGGCGATGTTAACCAACGTTTCAGAGGTCATACTGCCGCCGTCATCAGGGCGGTGAGTATGAAGATTTCTGTCTTCTAGGTTGTTGCGCTGTGTAGTCTGGGCGATGTTAACCAACGTTTCAGAGGTCATACTGCCGCCGTCATCAGGGCGGTGAGTATGAAGATTTCTGTCTTCTAGGTTGTTGCGCTGTGTAGTCTGGGCGATGTTAACCAACGTTTCAGAGGTCATACTGCCCTGATGACGGAAATCTTCTTATATATTATACTTATTTCCCTGACGTATTTATAGTTATTCATGTGGTCAGTGAACTTTCTCGGGTGCCATAGCGGTGAATATGGTATCATTTGATATTTTTTTTTTTGGTGGGGGGGTTAAGACACCATGTACACTTGTATGTGGATAGCAAAGTTTCGGAGGAGCTTATTGGCTTCTTCCTGAAACCAGTGGCGTATCCTGCTCTAGAAGTCGGGTGCGGAAATGCGATAATCGATATTATTTAATTCTCCAACTATCGCGCTACAACGCTAAGTCATTTTAACAACGTTGATAACAACAGTGTTTATTTTATACCTCTGCTGTATTACACAGTAAATAATTTATTTTATATTACTTGAAATTCAGTTGTCTGGCGGCGTAGCGCTAACCAGACTGCAGAATTTAGAACTTCCTCGTACCCACCTGCAACTCGACGTGGCTCGGCGTCGTAAGCCAAGAGACCACCTTGTACGTTTTCACCGCCCTGAGAACCTCAGATGTCGTGTAAAATTAATTGTACACTGTAATATTCACGCTTTTAGCGAGGATATGGTAAAATTTAAGATTCGCAACTGAGTGACAGCAATCCTCCTCAGTTTAACTCGACTTTAAAGTCATTACGTATTCAAAACATCACAGACTGTATCGCCGTCGTATACTTAAAGGCGAGCAGGCGGTCACTCTCTACGGTGGTCCGAAATCGAGCCCAGGGCTAGTTCCAGTGGGATTTACGGTGAATAAAGTGGCACTGGGACAGGTTTTTTTTATCAGGTTTCCTTAGTTTTAAATTATCATTCAACCACTGCTTCATATTAATTACATGCAATGTGGGAGACGGGTAATCAACCCTTTATCAGCCCATTTCCAAAGAGACAGACACTCACCCACAGCAAAAACAAGAAACACGCACTCTGTAAATGAATTAGTTGATTTATGTACCTGGACCATGAGAGAAATACCCACGATGCCTTGAGACTTGTCCTCTGCTTCCGACATGTTGTGGTACAGTTCTGCATTAAATCCGTAAAGCTGAATCTGCAACATAAGAAGGAATGTCATGTCAGACACAGTTTTGTACTTAGCTGAACGCAGAGTTTAAAAGAGCTGGTTTTGTTTGGATAGGAAAAGAGTCCTCACATTAATTAATTAGTAACACCTGAGTAATTCAGTGTCTTTGTTAAAGTTCTTGACAGAAGTGTTAATTCAAATTACAGGCAAACAGTGGAAAGGAAGCAACATAGAAAAATTGCAGACAAATACAATACGAACGACAAATAACACAAGAAGAGTGGCCAAATATACAAAATAAGAACACGTCTTTTATAGCCTTTTTGCAGTAATGAACTCCATAATACCGGGTTCACTTTTGCTGTTGATCAAAAGACATTCTGATTTAAGTTAATATCTATCACTCGTTTTTATAGAGCAGGTGGTTAAAAGGAAGATTTATTCTAAACTTCGTAAGTGCTTTAAATCAGTGAAAACTTATGAGCGTACGAAGCCACACGAGAAGATACCCTCAGTTCTGTCAGAGATCCAATGTTTTCAGTGACGTAACATGCTCATAGAGGGAAGCTGCAGCTAGTTGGAGGGATGCAAGGAAGATTTTGAGATAAGGCGGTCCAAAGTGACAGGGAAAAGACGGGGCTTTAGCGCATTGTACTTGGAAAAGAAGGGGTTGTCCCAGTGCCCCAACTGGTAGTGTGTTCCAATGTTTCTACGACTATCAGCAATGCGGAGCTGAAGTTGGGGTACATACTTGTTAATAATTAACTCATGTTTCAGTATAAAACACAAACTACGAAGAGAACGCTGACCTTGTAATCCTGGGGTCTCGGGTTCGATTCCCGGCGGTGCCCGAATTTATAACTTGTGTTGGGCAAGGCCGTGGTCTAGGCAACACGGAGTTTTCCTCCGTGGCATCCCAACAATTACTCCATTCACACACAGAAGAAGGCAATGCCAAACCACTTCTGGATCATCTGCCAAAACGTATATGAACAGGTCCCAGGCCGAGAAAAGGAGGGAAGGATCCTGTTCATATTTATAAATGTACCACCAATTTGCTTTTAGTAATAAATGCCTTTTGATGAACGTTGGACACCAAAATTTTGATTAAACTTATAACTTAGGATGATTCGAAATATGGAACACAACTGTAAAGGTATTAAGTTTCGAAGTGAATAGTAGATCTATTTTCTTTTAATGTATTGTCTGTATTCTGTAGGTGCTGTTGACGTTTCGCTGCGTGAATTGTAGTTGGTTATTATCATGGCGTGATAATTATTTTCCAAAAATTGAAATCTCTATTCGAAAAGGCTTCCTTTAGTTTATGCAATGAGACTAGTAAAAACTATTGATTAATATTAGTGTAATGTACAGATACGTTTGTGAGCATAGATTCCATCTTTGTATTAAATTTGTTGCATATAATTCGAAATACTCGTTGAGACCCTGTGATCGTAATTGTTAATACATGAAAAGGTTTTTCGTTCTAAATTGTTGGCGTGTTTATGTATGTGTGTCCTCAAAGTAATTCGCACGGCTACCACCATCGAATATTTTACTTTGCGCGGCCGGCGAATGTTTTTAAATTATAGAGCAATGTTATCTTCACGAAAGTTCCTTGTTCTCCGAAGATGTATTTCTCTAAAAAGTGTCAGTCCCTTGCATTGATTGGGCCTTGTATTCGACCGTAGAATATCACGTGGCGATTACGATTATATTACTAATGATAGACTTATATCAAATAAAAACTTGAGCTCACTTGCAGTAATACGTGATATTTGGTTTTAGAGTTAACATTTACAAAAAAAAAAAATCGTGATCATATCAGAAGTCTATTCTTATGAAAGCAGGAAAATTCAGTTATGTGGGCGTTTGTGTTTTCCGTGAGTCTTAATTGAAAACCGATGTAAATTAACCACAGATCTTCTAACCTTTACTAACACGCCTCTCAGGCTACAATTTTTGTTTTGTTTGTAGTTCTTCCTAAACGTTCATATTTACCTTTTGGTTTTTGATCGGTTGTTGGTAGCACTGAGCTAATACCGAATGGCACACAAATACAAACACGCGTGGTAGAAGTTCGATTCAAGCCCACGGCCTCAGGGTAGAAGTGATTGTTAGCGTTCAGCTCCAGCGAACACGACCAGCAAGTTGACAGCTAATGGTACTGTGTAATAACACTCAAGTGTTAGTGTGTTATATCTGAATATTTGCTGTTAAAATGACAGACACAAACGGAGGTGTGCGGGGCAGATATATATATATATATATAAATGGCGTTTGCTTCACGCTTGAAGTAACTGAATACTTTATACATAAACCCTCTGAATCTGATTGGCTAACTAATGCACGTGACTGTACAGCCGGTCAATTTGGAGGAAGGTGAAGTAACCTGAGAATTATGGGTAATAAATGCTGTTGAACTTCGTGATTTATGCAGCTGATCTGGTTTTGTTAGGGCGTTGAAAACTGATGAGGTTAGAATGGGCTGGACGTGTAGGTGGAATGTTAGAGACGGTGACGGTACACAGGTGTTTGTGTCTTCAGTTTCATAGGTCTGTGACGTGATATTAAAAGAGTCTGTTTAGGTAATGGCAGTGTATTAAGTGTATGAAATTCTGTTAAAATTGTGGCTACTGACAACCTTTGGTATAGTCTACAGATCAGGAGAAAATCCCTGCTAGGAATTCGATATACGCGCATGCGCAAAGATTTCGCGGTGAGTGACGACCCATCCTAAAAACATTCGTTCTACAACCACTGAACAGACAACAGACGACAGGCTTTCATGTGTTCTAATGGGTACAGCTTTAAGATTACCTCACAGAGGCACAGCGATTTAATCTAGAATATTATCAGAACACATTAGAGGTGCGCTCACTACACGCTACTCTTAACTGCTTGATGTTTTCAGTCTGTGTAGTAGCGTAAAACTCTGACGTGTCACACTTCCCACCAATAGCAGCCCTCTAGTCCACCTGGTAAGAAACATCCCCCTTCACCGCACCAGAACCGAGTTCCCCCCCGCAGGGATTTTCAAGTGGCTGATGGACAGTGTGTGTTTGTTAGGCGAGCAGAGGACAGCAGTGACAGATTCTTTCTTCTTTGAAGAATTATCATTTAATTAGCAGTTACATTAGTGCCAACAATTAAAAACAGTTGCAGCCGAAGACAGAGTAAGTTGACTTAGCGTCATCATAGAGGCATGGAGTTAAGCTTCACTCACTTACGGGTCGTCGCTGGACGAAGTGTGAGTTACCAGCCTCACCCCAAAGTTTGAACTTTTTAAATGTTATTATTTTATAGGCTAACAACATTTAATGACACGCGTTACAGTACTTAGGGACTTTTGCAAAGAGGGAACGGTATTTGATGTGTTATATGATGAAGTAAATTATTAAAGGCGTGTAGTAGCCTTTAGAACACCCTGTACTTGATCGTATAACACATTATCCGCCGCCAATACGACTGCACTCAGTTATAATAAATGAGCGTGACTTTTTAGTATTTAGGCAATAACATTGATTCTGTTCCAAGGGGACTTTAGCGAACTGCCTTAGTAATTAAGGACGTTTCTGGAGAGTGGTCTGCCTGTAATCGATTCTGCCCATTACATTAATAGAGCAATTTTATGGCCAGAACGTAATGATGGTGGCCGTATTAATGAAGAAATTAACAGTAGTTGTGCAGGGGTAGTAAGTGGCCGGCTTAAAATTAAAGAAGACTTAGCTTGTAACAAAATAGTTAACTGTACTAATTTTTAGAAACATAGAAACGTGCCTGATAAAATCATACAAATAATAGGCCTATTAATATGATTTTAGTGGTTGACTCTCAGACCGCCAGCGAGAAAAATTAAGTTCATTTATTGCGGAAAGTATAATTCGCAGTAAAACAAGAGGTGAGAAACTGTAACGTGGTTTTAATATAATTTACATGGCCAACAAATCATAAATAGCTTAATTTTAATATTGTCCTCAAAACTGCGTCTCTTAAGTCGTCACTTATGTTCATGTTTTCTGACTCAAATGTATTAATTCTTTATCTCGTCCATGCGCGTTACATGCTCTGCCCATCTAATCATTAGAACATAGATAATTGTTACTGTTTCGATGACACACTGTCTGTCTACAGGTTTGTCGATCCGCTGCTGTACTTAGGGTGCTCCATTGCAAGATTTTTGCTCTGTGCGCGTGTAAGGTCTTCAGGCTGGAGTGTGTTTGATTCATTCAGGTCAGGACGCTTAGTCATAGACTAACCCACTTACCCGTGTGTTTGTGTGTACGTGGGCAGCTTTATCAAGTCGTGTAACATTGTGTTACTAGGATACCGCTAGGAACATCTCCAGTAGCATTATGTACGGTGTTTATCAACAAATTAATTAGGAAGCAATATCTTTTATGGTTTATTGAATTTATTTATAGTATAATTATGATGGAATTCAATGCATCTTGTATCAGTTTCAGTACTTCAATTACGATTTGAATTTTTTTCGAGTTCGACTCGTATTTCATGATGGAACGCGTAAATTATAAACGGTTTGATGTGTGGTGTTTAGAAATTGGTGTCTCAAAAATTGTATCTGCCATACATTGCCCTAAAGCGAAATAATGTAGAACAAAAATATTCTGTTTACAACATGCTTTACACAAAGGTTTCCTAATTTAAATGTAAAAATCTGATACACTACGCTTAAAAATCCTTGTTTGCTATATGTCAGGCTAATGACAGTTGGATGAAAAAACCATGGTTATTTTTTTTTCAAGAGCCTGTTTCCGAAAGTTCTAATTTAATCCACATCCTCGAAAATATATTAACGAGAAATTTATCTTCAGAACCAAGTAACAAAGACAACTTTAAGGACAGAAGAATATTTATTTTTAAGAATATTTCAAGTATTTATGTCAGTATGAGTTTATGCACATGTCAAATTCATGCCATAGTCACGTCGATATCAATCGAAGGGATTGCCGTATAGAAGCCTTTGAAATTTTCAACGTCATTCGGTAGTCATTTTTTCGAAAGCATATATCTTCCGAACTGCAGGAATCTGAGTGACCATATTCATGTCAGATTGAGTTTATGCACATGTCAGATTCATGCCATTGTCACGTCGATATCAATCGAAGGGATTGCCGTATAGAAGCCTTTGAAGTTTTGCAGGTAATTCGGTAGTCATTTTTTAGAAAGCATATATCTCCCGATCTGCAGGAATCTGAGTGACCATATTCATGTCAGTTTGAGTTTATGCACATGTCAGGGTCATGTCATAGCCACGTCGATATCAGTCGAAGGGTTTGCCGTATAGAAGACTTTGAAATTTTGAAGGTCATTCGGTAGTCATTTTTTCGAAAGCATATATCTTCCGAACTGCAGGAATCTGAGTGACCATATTCATGTCAGTTTGAGTTTATGCACATGTCAGAGTCATGCCATAGTCACGTCGATATCAGTCGAAGGGTTTGCCGTATAGAATTCTTTGAAATTTTGAAGGTCAATCGGTAGTCATTTCTTCGAAAGCATAT